GTCCGGGTTCCGTCTGGGCATGTGGGTGTAACTACATCAAAAGTGATCAAAGCTATATAATCCAAATTAATCCCTCACCTATAGGATAATTCACAGGTCAAACATGCCTCCCAAGCGGAAGCGTTCCAGCAATGGTCCCGAGCAAAGGAGTGAGACGCGCAACAAGCCTTATGCCTACTTGAAGCCCCAGGTCCGGCAGGTCTCCGAAAGGACCATCAAATCCAAGTGGTCCACACTTCCGGAGCCGGTTCAAGACAGGGTGCGCGATATGTTTCGGGCCCTGGAACGTCCAGTTATTGTAAGACAGCAGAACGAGGGCAAACGCATCGAAGCACAGGCTGCTGTTCAAGCTGTTGTGAAAAAGTATAGTTCCCGGTCTTCTGTCTCGAGGGAAATCATTATACTGACCTGTAATCTTCCAATGCTATAGTCTGGGAAAGCGGCTTCCGCGCATGCCTTTTCCCCCAGTCACGAAAGACTCTGTCTTTGAGTACGAGGCAGCGCTCAAGGAGCATGTAAGTAACGCTCTATAAACCTCATTGAAGATATGACTGACACATGTTTGCAGTGTTCCTTGGAGGCTACTTTAGCCACAGTGACTGATAATATTGATCTCTTGAAGGCTGAAGTCGAAAAGGAAGAAGCTATGCTCGAAAGGGAGAAAAAGCAACTGCAGGAGATGGAGAGAAATGCGAAGCGAGCAGAAGCGGAGAGGAAGAGGCAATCGAAGAACGTAAGTGTGGCCTTGATGCGAGTAAGTTAAGAGAATTACGACGACGCTGACCTTTTTTTAGGAGCACCCTGTTCTGCGGCAGGTCGACAGCTCCCCCGACGAGTATAACCAGAAGCAGTCCGAATTTACCCTTGCGGGAGGAAAAGAAACCCAAACGATGTTCGACGAGGTGCGTTTTTAGCTCCTCTGTACCCGGGCTTGATATCTGTTGCTGACATACCGTGTTTAGCTTGAAAATGACCCAGAGGTCTCGAATATCCTGAAACAACTGACTGGGCATCTGAAGTCAATGCAAAACAATACCGCACCCGTTGCCGGTTTGAAGGACGCAATTGGCAGGTCGCATGCAGCATTGAGTCTAACTTTTATGCCCGAAGACTGAACCCACAAACATATGCATCAATGGCAAGTCCAAAACGATTGTGCTGTTACAGTTTGTACGCCGTCTGGAGTGCGTACTCGAAGATGCAAGCCTCATGCCAGTCTTCAAGACGTCTTGGGAAACGAGTCATGCGCAGGACGGTATTTGACATCCTACGGTCGACCAAGGCATCGCGAGCCAGTTTGACGCTACCTGGAAGGTCTACCGCATCGACTGCATATATCCCTCACGGGACACCAGTGATATATGGGGCTAAACGAATTCCCGCCCCTCGGAGAATTGGTCCTCCTATTCAGGACAAGCTGGGCCTCATCGCGTTCTACCTCGTTCTTTGTCAAGACTCAGGTTCTGGGAATCCTCTAGCCCCAAGTGGAGTTTAGTCAGATATTGACGGCGGACCCCCACTAGTTAAATACAGGCAAAGAAGTCTAGTGGGTATATGAGAAGCTTGTGGCTAGTAATGCTAATGGGGCATCATTCACGGGTCATTAGCCACCCAGAAAAACTACTTAATACAAGCCTGATTTTGGAAAGGAAATAAATGACTCTACTGCCTACTCTGCAAAACCGCCCAGTGTAAGAGCATGTGGCTGCATATGCTAGATGCAAGTTAACCGAGGTAGAAACCTTGTAACTAAATTCAATGACAGATAGTCGTCCTATATGTTAACATCAGAAATACTAGGATTCTGTTTAATCTGTATTTACTTGCTCGCTTGAACAACTGATATTGGCTGCTTTGCTTCGCACCGTGAGGGATAGTGTCACACATGGGTTAGCCGCTCATATGCTTTTCCGAGGCTACTAACCGGGTTCGCCGCTGCCGACCCCAATGCGGAGGGGCCCGGGAAATGAAAGATCCAAGTCCCGCACCAGCGGGGAACTTCGATGAGCCGATCGCATCGCGCGTGCCCTCACATTTTCACGTTACAGATCAGCCCGATACCTTCGCCCTCTGCTTGTTCGGTCCATTCACACCCAGTCGAATGTCTGCAGACGGTCATTTTGCTCCCCGTTTGTGTTCCAATCGACAGCAACAGTGTTAACGGCAAAACGAACCCTGCGCAACACCTTGCGCCTAGCGATCAATGACGGAGAAAAGTGCGGCGTCAACGGGTCCAGGCCCCGATCAACAAACCAGCAATGGGACAGCGGAGAGAAAACCGGATGTGACAGAGGAGGAACAGACTGGGGCAGATGCTGGTGCGAAAGACAACTCGCAGAATACACCATCTCTCAAGACTGAGGGTGCTGCCGCGGGGGCTCACCCAAGTCCCAAAAAACGTCGCAAAGTCAATCATGGTATGGCGCTATTTGCTATGCATCCTACAAGGATCGAGGCAGCGACTCAGCTTTTCCCCCCTGTTGTTTCGACCACGTTGCTAATTAGAGTGCCACGTTTGCAGCATGCGTTTACTGTCGGCGATCGGTAAAGTCTTTCCCCTCAAACAAGATCACCTTCCTCGCCCCTCACTTCAATCAACCCGAACAAACATCGCCCTTGATACTTGTTGGGCTCCACGCCTAGAGGAGTAATTTGCTAACTGAAAGGCACTCGCTCGCGTGGCACAGCATATGACTTGCGACTCGGTACGACCCGTCTGAGCTCTACCCCCCAGCGCATTCCTGTGAAACGTGGAGTGCAATTACCCTTCGAAAATCTAGTTGCTGACGGTTATTGCTTTGCGGGAAATGTAGGAGCGACCCTGCACGCGATGCATAAAACGGAATATTGGCCACCTTTGCCACGATGAACCTCGGGAACCTTCAAAACGGTCGCGGAGTGAAAACGATCATTCGGCTGCCGATGACGAGGGCTCTTCGAATAATGAGTATTCCGGTGTCCAAATGCCCAGAAACGTCGACGGCCCAGAAGCTGCAGGTCAGCAAATGCTACCCGACGGGTCCATCGGCCTACCCACCGCTTCTGTAACTTCTGTGCAGCAGCCAGGCAACATGGCTTCTTCTGGCCAAGGTCTTAATGCTCAACAGCAAAGTGAGTCCTACCTATAAAGTCGTGTAGTGCATCATATTGACCTTTAGTAAGTGATTGGGTACAACGAATGGCTTGGTGGACAAAGCCAATTTCAGGACATGCACACGTTTCACCCTTCATACATGTTCAATGCACCAGAGGTTACTAATGAGTACAACCTCCTTGGTGACTTTCTGAGCAATAGCCTTTTGGATGATGGAGGAGTGTTTCAGAATGATGAGCTGCAGGGTATTTACTCGGATCCGTCGTTACTCAATTCTATGGCGACTCTGGGAAACTCGAATCAAAGCCTTCTGCAGCAGTCTCAACCTGCGCAACCCCAACCTAATCAACAGGCTCAGGGCGAACCTTTACAAGGGCCTACACCTGCAGTGAGCAATGACAAGGCGAGAGAGACCTATTACATGACCGCAGCAGATCCATCAGGGTCCGACCCGCCAGAGGAGCGGATGAACAAGCTTCTTAAAGCGAAATACGACGCGGGACTCCTTCGCCCATTCAACTACGTGAAGGGTTATGCCAGGCTCAATCAATATATGGAGCGACACTTGCAACAAGCCTCGCGGCAGAAGATCCTCCGACAATTAGATAAATTTCGGCCGAAGTTCCGTGAGCGAATGCAGAGCCTGACCGACATTGAATTAATCCTCGTGGAGATGTGGTTTGAGCGAAGCCTGATGGAATATGATCGAGTCTTTGCTAGTATGGCTATTCCGGCTTGTTGCTGGAGACGAACGGGTGAAATATTCCGTGGCAATAAAGAAATGGCAGAGTTGATCGGCGTACCGATTGAGACTCTCCGAGACGTAAGTAATATCTGCAGACATAAATCTCCGTGGTCAACGTCTAATATGACTTTCATATTCAGGGAAAGCTTGCAATCCACGAGATCATCGTGGAAGACCAGCTAGTGAGCTACTGGGAGAAGTTCGGAGCTATTGCCTTTGACAACACGCAAAAAGCCATGCTCACAAGCTGTACCCTGAAAAACCCCAATTCCAACTCCCCTGGAGATGGAATCCCCTGTTGCTTCTCGTTTACAATCCGAAGAGATACCCATAACATGTGAGTGACATCATCAGACGGTGCGATGGCTCGGTGCTAACTGCTGTTGTTCTAGCCCATCACTCATTATTGGGAATTTTCTGCCGTCACAGCGAAAGGCCAAATAAGCCCTGGAGTTATTTCCCTCGTACTTCTTTATTGTTGCCTAGCAAATGCTCGCGTGGGTTGACGCTTAGTTACTGTCTTCTTTCTTGGTGCTTACTAGTCCTCCTATTGGAGGAGCTTCGCGATATTGTTCCCTTCATACCCTTCTGTCATTGATTTAAACGGCCATCAAAAATGTACCATAACATCTTCAAGGCGTGACTTATTTCCAAGGGAAGGTAGATTGTGGCCTTGTAACGTGAACCCGAAATGGACTAGATTGGTCAGGTGTCATTCCGTACTTCGCTTTTGGTGTCGGCCAAGTATCTGCAGGACTCGAGTCCTCTTCTCTAAGCCATTAGAACAACAACTAAATCAATGACACATCGCAGCTCAAAAGCAGAGATGGACGTCATTCTAGGTGAATCACCTTTTCTGCCCGTCGTTTCATACCTCTTATTGCCTCATCCACTAAGAACGAAGCAACAGACTTCGCAGCTGGCCTAGCCGATCGACTCGCTATCGACCAAAAGAAGCGTCATCTAGGTTTAGACGTTAAATCTGTGGCTCAACTGGATCAGCAACTGAGTGATTTTCCTTTGCTGATAGCGAGTCCCTCGTCCTCGACTCGGCGCCGGTTTGGCCAAGAAGGAACAAAGCTATGGAATACTTGCATACAACTCATGACTGTCTATAGAGACAGAAAAGAAGAAGTTGTCCTGGTGTGCAAAGGTACTTCCATGTCTCTCAGCGACGCGGGGACTTTCACTGAGTACGGCATAGTGAAGGCATTCGCTTACGCGATGTTGGAATATGCCGCACCATATCGAGGCACGGGTAAGTATAACCCGTTGACTATTGTATGCGTAAAGGACAGTTAACATCGCCCAGGAAGCAACAGGGCCTTAGAGACGGCATTTAGCATAGTATCGACATGCATAGGTAAAATCCACAACTCATTGCTTTCTTCTTTGTCTCTCTGAACATAGCTCTAATATATTCGATATAGAGAATGGCTGTCTCGATCTAAGCCAAAAGATAATCGAAACTGCAGCTATACGGTTAGACAAACTTGAGAAATCTGGAAGTGACATCGAGGATGCAAAGTTTCAACAGTATACCATAGAGTACTACATGCTTCGTGTCAACTTGGTATGGTCTACCCGTCCACAAATTACATCAGGCTGACTGTTAGATCTATGTAGGCATGGCTACAAGGGAGACTCGACATCGCAGAACACTTGTTTTCAAAGATACCAGGATCGGATAATGGCGGGGGTCAGGAACGTGTCATGGACATATGCTATAAGATCGGTAGCTGTGCGCTTTCACGCAAGCAATATGATGTCTCTGTGAAGTGGTTAGAAAGGGCGTGGAGAGCATCTGAGCTCATAAGGCATATGGACCAGTCACCGGTCCTGTCAATAAAGGATAAAGAGCTACTGATACTCCATGATTCTGGTAGGTTGCTCCTGGTTGATGATCATGGCAAATACCTCATGCAGGACAGTTCGTGCCGGTCTTCGTCTTGATACCAAAGAGTCCACTGGCTTTCTTGCTAGAGCCCTGGATGCACTGAAATCTGTAAGCCATGAACTCCAGTCATTATATATTGGCTAATATCGAACAGCATTACGGTGGAATATTCCCAGTTCAGGTCATCCAACTTGAGTTACTGGGCAAGGAAGAACTAGATGAAAATATCCTTTCGCAAGGTCGCTGATTATATCCTGTGGTTGCCCTCCCTTCTTGACTAACATAAGGGTTGACAGTGCTACAAAGTACTATTGCATCGCCTGAACTCAAAGATTCACACCTTACAATGTAAATGGTCCAGTATGACCCGTGTATGCTGTCCAGTGCTAAATATTGAGAGTAGCATTATGTATTATATACAGAAGCTGCCTGGTACATGGTGAGTGTATCGTTCAGATTCGTATGCTTATCTAACAATGTGTCAGCCCAGAAGTCTCCATTATGATGCTCAAGGAACTGCTCGAACAGGTCATTCTTCTCCCAAATAACGAAACTTCACTCGAGAAAGCATTTATAACATTCGTATATGAATTGATGCACTCGAAGAAATGTGCAAATACTAAGCTCGAAATCTTCCAGGAGACAATTGCCAGCTTAAGGAGGCATTATAAACAGCCGTTGAGTGAAGCGGCAACAGAAGCAACACTCATCGTACGTTAGCCCTTATCATAGCTCCAGCTACTATAGTAGGGCTCATTGAGATATAGCTCATTTGGAAACATGTCAATAATGCGATCTCGAATGACGACAAATCAGTAGCAGGCAAATGGTGTCTTTGTTTGTTAGAAGAGCCAATATTTCAAGTTTCTGCTGCAAACAAGGCTAAGCTTTTTAGGTAGCTAGTCTGCACCTGATAGATTTGTCCCAGAACAAGATCTAACACCAAGCAGACAGTTTCTCATGTGTACTTCACATGACCCGAATGCCTCACAAGCGATTGATATATTCAATCGAATGCCCGAAAAATGCAGATCATGTCCGTCAACATTGTACCTTATGTACACACGAAGCCTGCAGAGCAGCGAGCCCATCGCATGTAAGTAAACCCCAAGCGCTCTAATAGAAATCTAACACAGAAAAGCAAACATATATCTCGAGTCGCTCCTTGGGGACGCAGAAGCCATTCCTCACCTCTTGTCATGTGTAGTAGAAGCCTTTAAGCTTGGGAAGACTCAGCAGGGGCTGGAGAGCCTTGAGCAACTTCTCAAGTCCACGAAGTGCTCTGGGGCAGAGGGATGTCATGTCGGAAAACTGTTACAGTATGGCTAACCTTCTATAAGAGGTGATGTGCTGACCTCAAAATATGCCTGCCCTTCAACTTCTTTCTACGGAACTCGAGAACTCCGGATGGGAAAACGAAATATTACTGAACAAAATTCAGACATTGATGAATCAAGGTAAGTCTCATGCAGAAGCTTGGGAGCTGTTGACTGACTAGCCAGGATTGGTCATGGCAAGTCGCGGAGCACCGGACAACCGCGCATTTTCCGTTGAAGAGCTTGCATGGTTTGCCAAGGCCAGTTATAGTATTGCTTCCAGAGTATTCAGATCGACCAAACTGGATTCCGTCATGCATCTACTAGACATATCTATCAAAGCAAGTGTAGGCCTTCCGAAGATTATTGATTTCCTCTAATACAGCATAGTTCGCCGATGGTTGCCAACACCATGATGTCAAAGAGCAGATTGTTCTATCGGAACACTATCTCCTCTGCGACTCCCTCAAAATAGTCAAAATCGCGATAGAAGCCCGCAAGAAAATTAGCGTTGATGAGAAGGTTCGCTCTCAACCAGAGCTCTTCTATATAGGATCTAATGTAGCATCCAGAGAAAGCACTACAGCGCTATCCACAGAATAAGTGCACACTTTCGAGAGCTGTTCAAGGGCCAAACGGTCGAACACAGCACTAATGCTCAGTACGAAAAATGGCTTTCCCAGCACCGTACCATCCTTGCCCTCGATCTTGAGGCATCTATCTTCTTGAACAACTGGACCGGTGTCTGCACAATCATCGAAGAAGCTAGCCTATTCTTAGATGAGAAGCTCAGCTCAGTATTCCTAGACGGTATCCTCCGCTCTGGTGGTCATGTAAAATCTAAAGTACAAGCAGTCAAGGTATGTATTCACTTATTAGTCCTTAATTTCAGCCACTCTTCACACCCCCTTTACTACCAAACACCCGATATTACAGGCATGTACGCTGACCATCCAACGCAACACATGACAGATCCTGCTCCGCACCCTCCGCGCCTCTCCATCCCCTTATTTAAATAAAACCACATTCACTATCCAAGCCATTCCCCGCTATATCCGCTGTCTATTCCAACTTTCCCTCGACGCAGCAGAGTACCAGCTCGCAGAGTCGATTCTTGATCAGTCTCTCATATTAGTTCAAGAAAGACCTGCTAAAGCCGGGGATTATGACAATCTGTCACTACCGGGGCTTCCGGAAGATGAGATACGATGGCTATCAGCCGTAGCATTCAATCGAGCGGTGGATTACTACCTCGCTGCAGCGGATGCGGATTGCCGACGATGGGCCGGGAAGGCAATCAGCCTTGCTAATATGGCACAAGATGATGGTGCGCTGGGAAGGTTATTACGGGGGAAGCTCGAGATGTTGACTTGATGCACGCGTTTCATCTTAGTACCAACTCATCCCAAGACTTCAATCTAATATCCTCTACACACAATATCTTCCGCAACAGTAAAACTGTTACCTTCTTAGGGCTGTAATTTTCGTTTTCAATTTTTCAGGATTCAAAGTTGGCGCTAATGCACCTGGATGACGCTTTTTCGACCAATCAGAGGCTAAGTAGTTTTCCCTGAGTATCGCCAGATCCACTTCAGTTTACTAAGTATGGATAGTGTAAAACCACTACCTCAACTTAATCTTTGATTTCAATGTTCCAATTGAGCTGCAGTCTAGATTTGCTATTGAAATACTACAAGGGTAGGAACAATTTTATCTCATCCTGTGTATGCTGTATGCTGTCTACTGTAACCAAGAATAACATCAAAATTCAGATTTCCACTCACTGTTCTACTGTAATCACCAACAACAGACAAAACCAACACACACCTAAAACTCAAACCTCTCCCCCACAAGCTCCTCACTCACACTCCAAAGCCTCTCCGCAATTCCCCTATCAGTCGCAAACGCAACAGCACCCCCATCATCAACCTTACAATCCGCCAAATAGACCCCCTTGACCTGTCCATCCTCACTACTAACATCCACCACCTTCAAACGCGGATCCACCGCCGCCAGAACCGTCGTATTAGCCCCCACTTCCCTTGACTTCGGCGTAGGATCCATCCCCAAATCCTTCACCCTCTGCAGGGCCGTCTCAATCTCGCTAGGTGTCGCATGTCGACCAATCCCCGTGTCGACAGTGCCGGGGTGTACGGCAAACACAGCGATGTTGTACTTTGCAAGTAGTTTCTGGTTGAGGGATATCGCGTGCAGGATATTGGCGGTCTTGGACTGTCCGTAGGAGAAGAAGCCGTAGTATGCCTCGTCTGCGTGAAAGTTGCCGGTGAGGTACTCTGTTTTCTGGAGGTCGGGACGCTCGGACTCGGGTAGTTCGTTGGGGACTTTGGTGAAGGAGAGGTCGGTGAAGCGGACGGGGGAGAATTGGTGGCCGAAGGAGGAGAGGTTGATGATTCTTGTTGGGGGAGCAAGGCCGGAGTCGGTGGCTTTGGTGGTGGTGGCGGTGGTAGAAGCGGCCTTGATCAGCTTAGGTAGGATAAGGTTGGTAAAGAGGAAGTGGCCGATGTGGTTTGTTGCAAAGGTTGTCTCGAGTCCGTCCTCGGTGAGGGTTCGGGTGGGAATGGACATGACGCCTGCGTTGTTGATCAGGATATCGATGGTGGGGATGGAAGTGTCGGCCAGGAGTTGGGATGCTGCGGCGCGGACGGATTTCTGGGAGGATAGGTCCATGATCAGGGCGTGGTAGGTGGTGGCTGGGTAGGTTGTTTCGAGGTGGGTGATGGCCGCTTGGACTTTCTCGGTGGATCGTCCTGAGATGATCAGGTTTTCAGGCGACTGGGAGGCAAAGGCTTCGGCGGTTGCAAGTCCCAAGCTGCCTGGGGAGACGCCGGTGATGAGGATGGTCTTGCCCTGCACGGCTTCTGGGAAGGAAGCCGTGATCTCGGCGGCCGGGGTCTGGGGGGTGAATGTCATCTTGGAGTGTTCTAATCAATGCTAATGAAGGCTGAAGTATGAAGCATGGGACTGGGACATGAGGGTTGAAGAGGTCATTATATAGCCATTGCTCTGATATGAGCGGTTTTTGTATACACCCTGCTGTTCGATGATTGGTTCAAGAGCAGTCATCCAGTTGCACCGGTTCGGTGGGTCTTGAACCTGATATCGGTAGTATATTGGGGAGACGGATATCATCTGGATGATGGGGATGATGCTGCGGACACTGGATACATTAGTAGGTATTTATGCTTCTGATCTCATACATTTCATATCATCTTCGAAAGAAGGTAGATGTCTTGACGGGGAATACTTACCTTGTGCCATTTCTATAGGTGGTTCTAAGATGAGTGGTAGTTGCCAAATCACTTCAACAAGCTGAAGTCATATCAAACCTCTTGGAATCTCTGTATGACTCAAAAGGATAGAAAAAGTCCGATGTATCGATGTATCGCGATAGGGTGCCGACATAATGGTCCGCTAATGCATGCTTACTATAGTAAGTAAGTGGTGCATGGTTGGCCATTTAAATATTGGAAAGTTTCAAGCCGTTTGGCACTGAAATACGGTACTAGTACCAGTATTGATGCTTCTTATGTAATTAAATTTGCCTCCCCGTGCCTCGGAGTTTGTCTGCCTGCTATTTCCGTTTCTTCCGGCAGTCCATTTGTAGAACATAAATTCTCACTCGCTCAGCTCGCGTCATCCATTATACTAAGTACTAGTCATGCTTCCTCTCATGTCTCCGCAGGAGCGGGTCTCTCGCCTCAATGAGAATTGGACGGGCATCACCGATGCCGCACTTCGCAAGAAGCTGCAGAATAGAATAAACCAACGTGCTATGAGTAAGTCCATCTACTCCACTATCTTGTTACTCTGCGGACTATAGTTCGGGTACCGCGGCTCTTGTTTTGAACAGACCTAATAGTAGCACTACCAGGAGCTCGGAAACGCGATAAGAAAAGAGCTCTCATCGCACAGCAGCAGGCCAGGCGTAATGAAAAACGACACTATGCATTGATTCTCCCACGGCCAGATCCAGTGTCAGCAAACCAAGGCACGCGGAAGCAGCAGTTTCCGCGGCCAACATCGCTGTCGGAGGCTGTAGCCATGATGATGAATTTCCACGCCGCAGCCTACGAACGGTACTACGCGGCGGATCCGTGTCTGGATCATTTGTTGACGTTGACCAAGATGAACGTTCTGCGTGCGTTTGTGGACATCATGGGCGTACTGGGGTGGAATATACACGCAATGGAGGATAATGAGGCTGTCTCTCCGTTTACCGGCTGGAACCTACAACAGCAGGATAAAGAGACAAGTGTTCCGCTAAATCTTTTGCCCACCATTACTCAATGTTCCGTCCCTCATCATCCCTGGGTTGACTGTTTCCCGTTTCCGCAGATGCGCGATAATCTAATCACTTCTGGGGAGGGGTTTGATGATTGCGAGCTCTGCGAGGACATGATGGATCCTACTAACGGCGACATTGGCATTATGGTGTGGGGTGACCCTTGGCTTCCGCAGAGCTGGGAAGTGTCCGAGTTGTTCGTTCAGAAGTGGGCGTGGGTTATGAAAGGATGCAAGGAGCTTTTGATCTCTAGTAACTACTGGAGAGCTAAACGAGGACTGGACGAGCTCGAAGTGAGCGCTCTATGACTACATACGCATAATGTTTCACTGGTGCTGCTCGATTAGATGTGCTTGATTCAGCGAGCATAGCTCTACTTCGTTTCATTATCAAGTTTCGACCCGCCGCGGACTTGCTCGAAAACACCAAGTGTGTGTTTCCAAATGAGCCCTCGAATCCCTTGCTCGCGATAAACCTGCATCATCCGACTGGGTTTATAGGTTGATCCGGAGGAATCAAGCCGATAGAACCCACTTCCAATTTTTCCATCCGAACCTTCAGCAGCATCCATCTTGTCTCCACACATCCGCGGCGCGAACTGCAATTTCGTCGCTGCATACAAGTGTCTCTCTCCACTCTCCTCGAATCCAATCTCCCATGGCCGTCCGAGCAAAAGCAAGGCGTTTAATGCAGTCTTGGCAATGCCACCCAGGTCCCGATCTAGACGTGTCCGCACGAGTCCGGGAAAAGAGTGAATGAATGAGATTTGTGGATACGAAGCAGCCAGTTGCACCATGGCAACTGAGTTCATGGTAATCGCATGCTTTGCGCAGTTGCGGAGCGAATAGTTGGTTTTGAGAGAAAGATCGTCTAAATGAAGTGCTGCTTCACCTCCGGCTTCTAGTACCGATACCACACGCGAAAGCCGGTGAGGCTGTTGCTGTTGTTGATCCTCGCCAGCCTTGAGAAGCTGTGGGAGGAGATTTGCCACGAACCGCATCCGGGCATAATAGTGGAGCGTTAGTTTCTTGTCGAGCCCTTCGCTAGTCTCTAAAGTAAAGACGACAATTAGCACCAAGCATCAGAAATTATTATATATGGGCCGTCATACCATCTGGCCCATTCATCGATCCAGTACCCGGGCTCAAAAACAACAGATTTAATCGATCCTCCTTCTTCTTCAAATCCATGCAAACCTCATCGACCTCCCGGAGAAGAGACACATCCGCTTTGATAAACTCAACGTGCGAGTCTGGTTTGATTTGCCGCAATTCCTCAATAATCCGACTTGCTCTTGCCTGGTCGCGCCCAATCAAATAGGCACGGGAGGCGGTTGTATTGCGGATGAATGCGCGTGCTGTCGATTCGCCTATCCCGCTTGTTCCGCCGACTACATGAAAATTCAGTTTTGACTTTGTATATGTCTGGGAACGAATATGGGGACTCACCAAATACTGCAACCAGATTAGACCCATACAGACGAGGGATAGCGCCATTATTCTCCCGTACGGCTGTGATAGACACCATGTTTTGCTTTACTTCCTGTTCATGTTATAAGGACAAAACTTCAGGCCAAGCAGTTTCGTAGGGGGGAGGGGGATTATATTCTTTGTAGACGGAAAGAGAAACCCCAAAAGGAGTGGGCCTTGAAGAACGAGGCTATAAGAGGATGTAAAACTCGCTAATATGATTGGCTGAAAGAGCGTCAGCCTGATGCCTTGGCGCAGAACAAGATGGAGCCACTGTATTCTAAGTTGCAGGTTGTAGATACTCCGCAGTAACCGAAGTATTCACTCGCACTAATACTTTTGATATAGCACATAGATAGATGACCAAGTCGCCAAAGAACATGCATAAATCATTGAATAATATTTTGTGGAAATCATGGAGAGGAATACTCGGCAAGTACATTTTACTACTTGCATACTATATAAAGCTACACAATTCCTCTAGAACAAAAACTCTACCAAATGATCCTACATTAGAACCTAACATTTACTATAAACCCCCCCGGCTCCTCCGAGCTTATTTTCCCCCACAACACCCCCCATTCTCCTCCTTCGAAACTTCCAATCTACAAAAGCACGACGCCAAAATCGGCACGTCCGCCCCGGCCAACGCCACATTCTTGGCCCCCTCAATGGCCCTGGCCTCCTCTACCCTCCCCAACCTCACCAAACACTCATGATACCCATGCAACGCCCAAACATTATTCGGATGTCTCCTGGGACGAATCAACGACTCATCCAGCCCCAAATCAGCCCTATACACCCTGGCCGCCTCCTCCAACTCCCCTTGCTCTAGCTTCAACGCCGCGTAAGCATGCCTAACAGGCTGCATCCACGCCCACGGCTCACTATACGGCAATTGATCCTCCAACACAATGGCCTCCCTCAGCGCAGCAAACGCCGTCTCATAGTTCCCTGCTCGATACTCAATCTCCCCCTTCAGCATGGCGACCCCCACGGCCAACATATCGGCGGCTTTGCTATTGTACGCGCGGCGAGTGGGCGGGACGCGGTCCCGGGCTGCCAGGAACAAGGCTTCTTCCCTGCGGGCCGAGGGGACATCATTGGTAGCGGCGTAGGCGAGCCCGCGGGCGTAGTGGGTTGTTGCTGTCGTGATAGCATACAGATCCTGGTCTCCGGGAAGAGAGGTATTATTTATAAGCTCCTCCCACAACCCGAAGCGGACCATGACGTGCAGGCGGATAGCAACAAAGTGCTCGATCCAGTCGGCCATAGGAGGAGATTGCATGCGGAGGAGAGACTCCGGGATACTGGCTTCCATGCGGGACACTGCATCGAGGGCGGTACGTTTCTGGGCTGCGAACATAGCGGCGTAGATGAGCGAGTGGTAGTCGTGGAGGCGGTAAAAGGTATAGAAGTTATTATGGCCGGCTTTGGCGGCGTAGCGGTCATCTGCGAGCGTGGAGCGGTAGTTGGACCTGATGGAGGCGCGCCAGTCGCCGATTAGGATGTCAAGGTGTGTGGGCATGTGGTGGATATGGCCGGCGTCAGGGACGAGGTCGCGGAGGTGTTCAGCGGCGTAGATGCCCTTTTCTGGGGTGGGGGACATTTTGATGTAGTGGATGTAGAGGTGAAGGAGGCCTGGGTGGGAGTAGGCTTGGTAGTGGGGATGGGAGACGAGGGCGGATTCGAGGACGGTTTGAACTTCCTTGGTAGGCGCTTTGGGGTTGGGCTGGGCTGTGAAGAGGTCCCAGAGGGCCCAGGGGGTGATGTTCATAAGGGCGTCGGCGTACAGGACTGCCATGTCGAGGTCGTTAGGGAAGGACTCGTAGATGGGTTTCATGGCGGCGGCGTAGGCGCGGTTGACGGCGCTGTAGGTTTCGAGTTGGAGGGAGGTTGGGGTTGGGAATCGCTCGTTTATGGCTTTGCAGAGGCTTTGCTCGAGAGGTGTGGTGTCGGTGGATTGGGAGAGAGCGAGGGCTTTGCGTGAGGCTTCGTAGCCACGTTGTACGCAGGTGTGAAGATCTTTGCGGTTGAACCGCTCCCAGGCTTTGTTGTAGTTGGGGCCTACTGCGTAGGCGAGATCCCAGTGGCCCATGGCGAAAGTGGGATCGTGGGCTATGGCTTGCTCGAAGCAGTGTACGGCTTCGCCGTGGTGGAAGGAGTAGACCCAGATGAGACCATGATTGAACTAAATGCGTGTATCTTCGCTGGTGGTGGTGACTTTGCGCGAGTAGGCGCTGAGGTTGAAGTAGGGCTCGCTGGCTGGGATGGCTGTGCGGGTTATGGTTATGGGATTGGTTTCAGAGAGCAGAAGTTGTAGTAGGTTAGTTTGAAAAAAGAAAAAGGAATATAAGGATGATGGTGTAGTAGTAATACTACGGAGTATGCATGGTGGGAGAAATGTTACGATTTATATTATATTGGTGACAGTAAACTACGGCTACTTGCTACCACTACTCCAGAGTCGGAGCCATGATTGTTATCTGACCAGTAAGAATGTCATTTCAGACGCCGATCAATCACCGAAGGGGAGCCATCGAATAATTCACTTAACGGCCTTTTATGGCCTGACTTTTAGGACGACTTGGCCGAGGGATGAAGCATATTGCATTAGCCACAAATTTGGAATTTGCAGGTCCTTAGACTATTGAGAAAGCCATTGTAACAGACTTGTACAGTAGTATATACTCAAGAAGTAAGTGTACTTGGGAATTAATTTCTCACCCCAGATACAATGGTTTCTCTCCCAGCTGATACTGTACATCGGGAGAGATTGCTCTTTTAAGATGACAATAGAATAATAGAAACTTATGCCGATATGCGATTTTAGTCCTCTGTCGTATCTGACGAACACATTAACTTCTCTGACAAACAGCATGAATCAGAGTTCTTCGCCAACGCGACCTAGTCAGCGAAACCTCAGACCCCAGAGAATCCAAATGCCATGGTCCCATTCCAAATAACTACTATCTAGCTACTCTATTAAGATGAAGATACTTTTCAACCGAATACAGCCAATTCGCTTCGCAAAGACACACAAGGAGCCAACGTCAGTTCATAAATTATCAGGAACCTTCGCAGACGACCACTTCCTAATCCTGTCCCCCCAATACCAAAAGCAAACCGGCACCGGCACCAAAGCCACACAAATCGCCGCCAAAACGATGGTCGTCCTCTGTACCCGCAGCCCATTCACCATCTGATTAGCAAACAGCGGAAACACTGCCCCAAAAATACTCCTCATGGACCCATTGACCCCCATGGCACTATTCGCCATACTGGTATAGTTATCCACGATGTAATTAAACCCCTGAATGAAGAGCAAATACATGCCGCAGCCAATCAAGAAACTCGCACAGATGGCGCTGGGCCAGGGAATGGTGGCCGGCGTAGCGGTGCCTGCAAACCAGAACATACCAATGGGGACCATGATGCCGCCGACGATCATGGGCGGCAGACGGGCTTCGGGGATGAAGGTGATACCGTCGGGGGCATGGCAATGGTGACGGAAGTGGACTTGGTTGTGGATAATGATGCCGATGGCGCCAGCGAAGACACCGCAGATGATGGCCATGAGGGGGAGGTATTTGAGGGCTGTGGGCCAGCCGCGGTCTTCGCCAAATGCGATGGGGTAGGTCTGGTAGAACAGGAAGAGAATGCCGTAAATGAAGGATTGGTAGAGGGTAAGGAGGGCGAGGATGGGTTGCGTGGTGAAGAGCCCTAGGTTCTTTTTGTTAGCTAACCCCTTACGCTTCTATTCATTCTTCCGGGGTGAGGGAAGATCAACGCACAAAAAGGCCGAATCAGATAAACCCTCGTGATCTCCTCCAGACTTATCCACTTCTCATCCGACGCAGTCTTAAGATTAAAGTTACCTGTCTTCCTCCTAAGTGCCTGCGCCTTCTTTCGCAGAATCATCGGTGCATACGTCTCCGGAAAGGCGAAAACGCATAGCAGCGAGGCTCCCAGTCCCACGATGATGACCACCCACATGTTCCATCTCCAGTCGAGGGTTGGAGAGGACATGATGAATCCTCCAAAGACAGGACCAAACGTAGGTCCGGAGAATACGAGTGACACTGCCAATGCCATGGCAATCCCGCGATGGGCCATGGGCCAGCAGTCACTCACGACGCCGCCGAATATCGCGACTGGTGCGACGCCAAATAACCCGCCGAAGAAACGACCAAGCAAGATGGTGGCCAGGTTGTGCCCAAGGGCAGGCATCAAGTCGAAGAGCGAGGAGAGGGTGATTCCTAGTAACATGGGCCATTTACGACCGAATCGCTCGGAGAGAGGACCGAAGGTGAGGAAACCAAATATGTAGCCCTGAATTCATTCATCATGAGGAATTTGTCGGAAGAGGAAAAGGAAGTGAGCAGGTGAGCGGTCACGTACTACCAAAAATAAACTCGTCCCCAGCACGGCGACTTCATGGCTAATGTTGAACTCTTGCATGAATGTCTCATTGCCAGTCTCGAAGATGCTGCTGGCAACCGTTCCAATGAGATTCAGGATAGCCACCACTGAAGTGACCCAAACTCTCCGCGTAATGGACCAGTTAAGCGGAAGGAGAGGATCATCAGGTCCTTCAAAGTCGACCAGAAAGGGATACTCACCACTCTCTTCATCCGTCTCGGATGGAATCACTTTCTCTGATGGGGGGCTCATGATTGTTCCATTTTAGGAGGAGAATGGTACCAAAATGCGATACTATTTCTTAATCTGTCAACATAGGACAAGGCGGACTGACATGATACTATCGAGAAACTTTTCGGATACATATACTATGTACATATTTATAGTCAAGTGGACTAACTTATCTGCATAACACTACTGGAACCCCAGCACAGCCGAGCCCGAAATGCCGAATATTCACTCACTGGTTTAGTAGCAGCAACTATAGCTTAAGTTTACACAGCTTTGCCGACTACTGAACCAAGGACAGGGCCCATACTGGTCCATACTGGGGAAAACCAAGACAGTTCCATTCGAAATGATAAAAGATCCACTGAGCACACAATGCAGTTGAATGGCTCCTATAGCGCCAGTCTATCTGTTTCCAGGTAGCTACGAGGAGACCTCTCATTTGCGACAATGACTATTAATCTTAACACTCCTAGACTAGAGAGTCATCAATTACCAAGTATCGTGCATTGGTATGACAAGTACGGACTAAAGTGATGCTGTCGGAAGTTTGCTTCATGATCTCGTGCCAAGGAGAGAGTAGGAAAGGAAAAAAAAAAAAAATTGAGAGAGAGAGATTCGCCGATATTGATGCCCGAGATGGCGGAAGTGGGGAAATCCGTAGTTTATGATCAATCGCCGCTATCAGATTCAATCGCCGAGGCCCCCCGCTTCCATCAATCAACCTTTGATTGCACATTCTAGAGTGTGGGGTTATCATTCCTTCACCGGAAAGTCTTATGTATGAGTGATGGATTAATAGTAGAGGGAAAATAATCTCTACTTAGCGAGAAATCTTCACAGCGCCAACATTAAGATGTGAAAGATATACTAGGATATTAATCCATGACAGTGCTCTTCCAAATCCTCTCTATCTCTTTGGCCATTCCTATAATTCCCTCAAACACCGTATCCGCATGGATAGACCGCCCCATAGCCTCCATTCCCGACTGCAGCTCCTCGATCAAGCGCTCTGCATCTTGCACCTGGGTTGAACAACTACCAGGTTGATCAAGTAAATATGAGTAACTAGCCAAATTGCCAGAGCGTGAAGCCATTCGCACACGCCACAGCACGATTGCCAATACACCAAAGCTTTGAAATTGACAGCATGTTAGATAAGGTATTGAGCGTGGAGAGGCCATAGGCCACCATGACAGCCACGGAAGGGGTATTTCGTCCTCAGCAATGTCGGTGTACCTAGTAGCGTTCGGGACAGGAAGACGGCGGAAAATCCGACAGACAACGAGGGCGGAATGCAGGCAGATCTGGATTGATTTTTTCTCAGTAAAAGGGAAGAGAGCGTTTATCTCAGCGATTCGTCCCGTAGAGAGGTGGAAGTCGTGTGCTACCCCTTGTGAAGTCTGGCTGATTCCGATCGCGAGGTAATCGTAGTAGTCGTTATTTAGGAGAGCGCGATCTGGAAAGGCACGAACCCGATGGAGCATGAGTCTGGCTGTGTGGATCAGGCCATTGGTTATGGCCCACAAGTTGCGCGAGGCGTCTGCTTCGGGCCCTTCATAATTGGTTATGCAGCGAAACCTGTCAACTTCGGCTGCCAGCTCAAGGATGAAGGAATCCAAAGTCTGGATTTCTTCTCGGATGGAATTTGATAGGTTGGAATGGTGGCCCTCAGTGATGAGCTGGCGTCCGACCTCGCAGCTACGGAGAAGAGTTTCTTGTGCATGCATTAGAAGGGGCCACGGCTAGAGGATAAATGCAAATGTCTTCAGTTCATATCAATCCCGTCAAGCTTGGCAGAATGAAACAAGGTCATAGCTTACCTCGCGACATCCCCGAAACTCGGGAAATGCTGTTGTGATTCGAGTATCATGGATGGTAACAATTGGAGCCTATGGACTTGCCAGTCAGACGAAGCACATCACACAACCCACGCTGAACTCACCGAGGCAGTCATGATAGATGACTGATAAACAAGAAATATCTATTCGTCGTTGGTATGTATGCAGATAAAAAGAACATGCGCAAGTCCGACGTGATACATACTGTCACCCACCAACACCGGCGTTGCGCATCCGAGTAATCGCCATTGGCAGTACCCTTGTGCAGTGACATGTCCATAGCAGTAATTAGAGCCTGGTTTGCTCGGATACGCATTTTTGGAATATTCCCGTGTTGACAACATTCATATAAGCTGAGGATTCCCAGTGCGTACACGGCTTCTAGCTTCCTCGGCACCGCAGGATGCAAGGTACTCCGCAAGCTTTTAACCTTATCTTCCTCGGAGGATGACTCGATTGAATCCTCCAGAAGGTCCAGCGCGGAGCGCGCAAATAAATCAGCATAAGAACGTCGTAGTGCTCTTGCCTCGTTCTGTAGTGCATGCGACTCCCCAGGCACAGGCAGCAGAACTAGTATCCCTGCCAGAGCAAGCGCAAGCGGCGAAACAGGCCAGTACGGCATCTCCGTAGGAGCCACAGAAGTGGACTGAATGGCAACTGCCACAAACTTATCCTCATACTGAGGCACCACCGGAGGGGGCAGAAAGGGAAGGTAAGGGTGTAAATAAATGTAGTATGCGTTGATCCTGACGCCCCGGCGACACGCAAAAGGGACAAAAGGTCAGCCCTCCAGTCTAGCAAGTTACATTGCGAAATAGCAACATACAGATCTTGATCACATTGGTAAGCCCTGATGCTCCACTTAGGCACCTCCATAGATCCTAGGACATTCTCTACTACATCTCCAAGATCATGAAGTGGGGTCGGGAGCTCTGAGCAGCCATTTTCGGGGGAACTATTGCGCAGCTGTGGTATCGACTCTGTCGGTGGTAAGTAAGGAATTTGAAGGATACCAGGCTCCCTGTTACGACTGTCATGACGGTAGTTTTGTCGGTGAAAGCCAAAGTCTCCATTCTGCGTATTCGCTCCAAGCCTTTTCGGCCAGCCGGCGAGCTCTTCTTTTAGCCAGCTCTGCAGCAGCAACAGGCCCTCGACGGGCACCACCTCGTCGACTTGGTTGATATCGACATTCTTCCTGGTGGAAGCGGCACTTTGGAAGATAGTTACTAGACCGAACCCCTCTCCTCTCTTGGGAGCTAACTTGAACACTTGAACACGGATGCTTAATGCTTACTTACACTGGCGCACGGCATCTGCCCATCGCAGCGAACTTTAGCAGCCCGGCTATTGATTGCTGGGGTCAGTTTGCGGAACCCTTGCATATGGTATGGTCCACATACCAGGCTAAACATGCCAGTTTCACTGGTCTAGTCGTAGCAGACGTCATCCTTCCCCATTGATCAATATTCCCTAATCTATTCACACTTCTAGTTGCCTTGAGCTTCTGCTTTCCCACGAGACGATTGGGCTTTTCTCTGGGGATTCTGAGGTGACCAGAAGGGAGCGTCGGAGTGCTTTTTTCTGGCTAGAGACTGGATGAAGAAAGAGCAGGAAAAGTTGGAACTCTCTGAGGCTTCAGGATGCACAAAATCCATGTCATTTACCCACTTTTATTTTCCCGGTGATATGCAATTACGCATGGCTACTAGTCCAGTTGGGTCCGAGTTATATTAATCCATGGCTCATGCTCCCCCATTTATCCCTCATCCTCGGCGTCTGTCGCGGTCTTGGCTCCTTCGGCGACCCATCAGCACCTGCTTCGACCAGGGCCTGAGCATGTAAGTTAAAGGATCAGATCAAAAGCTGCCAAGATAATAAACAGAAACTAGTACTAGCTTTCTTTGGCAGCTTCTCACTTCGTTTCTCCCAAAGTGAAGACCGGGGTTCAAACGCCGGTCGCCAAGGTAGACCTGCGCATCTGAGCCCGAAGCCCCGAATCCTTCGCGCGCCATGCCCAGCAAGCAGACTCTGTCACTGTTGGATCGCAAGTGCCACGACTATACCAAAAGATATGCGGTAGAAGGGTATCTGCTAAGATAGAGTACAGATTTAGAAGGCCGTTAAGTTGTCCGATTCCGGTCAGTTGCTGATCCGGCTTTCCGGACGGCGTCTGAACTGACAAAAATGGCTCATTCTCACAACCACTGGAATATCGGCCGAAGGAATAAGAACGATATCTCCCAGGCATGTGAAAGACTAGAGCCTAGGCAAATCTACATTGCATAGAGTTGCCTGGAATTGAAGAGGAGGCCAAGCCAACTGTCAGATATCGGCCTGTTCCCCGACCGTTTACACCTCGGTAGAGTTGATATATAAAGGCTGTTCGCAAAGACGTGATGGGCTACTATACTGCATCCCTGAGTACATGTCGCACCATCGAGATACTGCCACTCTATACCACTGGCTCTTGGGCGTATTTGAGACGCGCAGATTACTTGACTCTTCGTTCTGCAACTCAAATTTACAATGGGCTCCATTGACATCTCTGCAGCCAAGTCGGACTGCAGCCTATTCTCCAAGCGTGGTCATCGCGCCGTGGAGCTCGGTGCCACTCGAATAACATGGGACATCATCAGTGATATGTGGCATCCTCGAAAAAACCCATCTGGGTACCTCTCCGTGGGCATGGCAGAGAACACGCTACTGCATGACATGCTGCTCGATTACATCCATGCCAACATACAGCTTTCCGCAGAACATCTCACCTACAACAACGGGAGTATGGGATCCATCGCCCTTCGGAAGGCCGTTTCGCACTTTGTGAACAGACATTTTAATCCATTTAGACCTGTTGAGCCAGGCCACATCCTCATGACCAATGGCTGTTCCTCTGCCATTGAGCACCTAAGTTGGACATTCCTCAATCCAGGAGACGCAATTCTCCTCAGCAAGCCATACTACAGTACCTTTATTGCCGACATCACCCTGCGGCCCGGATCGGTGGTAGTTCCTGTGGAAATGGGTGGCACGGACCCATTGAGTCTGGAAGCCATCGAAAAGTACGAGAGCGCAGCGAGGGAGTTTGAGGCACACACGGGAAAGCGAGTTCGTGCCGTCATGCTCTGTAATCCGCACAACCCTTTGGGTCGGTGTTATCCTCGTGCCACAGTTGATAAGTTGATGAGGCTCTGCCAATTGCGCAAAATGCATTTGATTAGCGATGAGATCTATGCTCTGTCAATCTGGAGCAATCGCGTTGACAAAGGTATTTCTTTTGCTCCCTTTGAATCTCTCCTTTCGAGAGACACCAGAGGGCTGATAGACCCTGCATTTGTGCACGTCCTCTGGGGTATGAGCAAGGATTTCGGTGCCAATGGGCTGCGAGTTGGTGCTATCATTTCCCAGTCAAAACCCAAGCTGCACATTGCTCAGAAGTGTCTGTCACTGTACAGTTTTGTCTCAGCCTTGTCGGACCAGATCACAACCTCTATCCTTCAAAATGATGACTTCACAGACACATACATTCAGAAAAACAGAGAAATGCTCTCCAAGTCCCATGAGTTCCTTGTTCGTCTCCTGCAGAGGCACGGAATTGATTATCTTCCCGGGTGTCATGCCGGCTTCTTCGTCTGGGTTAATCTTGGGAAGAAATACAGAGAGACACATCCTAGGGAGGTCGTAAGTGAGGGACTTGCATTCACCGATTCAATTTTCCAGAGATTACTTGATAATAAGGTGTATGTGGCTCATGGTACTGCTTATGGGTCGGAGAGCCCTGGCTGGTTTCGCTTGGTGTTCTCGCATCCTCTTCCTTGGCTAGAGGAGGCAGTGATTCGTATAGTCCGTGCTTTACAGTGAACTTAACATTGAACCAGCTAATATGTTACATGCCTGATGGTCAAATTTTCAAGACATCGTAATATACATACTTTCTGTCTCATCTCCCCATCCATCGAATCGCTTATAGCTTGATGTATACCTGCTTTCGATGGAATTCGAACCTGAGGACATAGTGAAGTGCAAAGTAGGCCATCTCATTTGATCATCTGATATCCCACCCTAAATCCCGGAATCTCATATCGTAGTTCCAGAGGCGCGGTACCCCGAGCGATGATGCAAGGCGACGACGGGCATGATCGTCGACCTCACATCATACGTGATTAATCTAATCTCAGACGATAACACGTAGCTAAAGGCCTATAGCGATGAATCTAATATAGTGAGTCATTTTCTCAAATGCCGAGATCCCCCAAGATAAACATTGCCTCCGCCTGCCTTACGGCGGAATCCTCCCGGCTTCAAACGGCGTTTGTTTTGCTGAAAAGTGACCACCTGCCTTCCTTTGCCGGCGCCATCACTGGCCATCTACGACTATAACAGGTCGGTATACTGCGGGGAAGTTTTGTTATCAATTTGAGAATTTGCGGAGAAAATTCTTGTTTGATATCGATACAAGCTCGAACCTTATAACGAATAGTAGAAGGGAGAACTGAGCTGAGTTATATTAGATGGTTGACATGTCCGTAGCGTCTCGCGGCTTGTGCTCGACCGGTTGAGGGCTCATATCACCGGCCATAACATACTTGCTTGATTGACTTTGCTGTTCTATCTCTTTTACTCCGTATCTAATATTCTTAAGGACATCTTTGCAGCTGACACCCCCCCCGAAGCCTAATATGGATGTCACCGGAGCCGCAAGTACCACCGACAGCTAAAGATGCTGCTGCTCAAGGACACGAGCAAATGGAAACAACGAGCGTTGATATACAAGACGTTACTGGGAAAAACGAGGGAGAGATGATCGATCACGGAGCCGATACAACACTCCATCGATCTCTCGAGACTCGCCATCTCACCATGGTCTCCCTCGGATCAGCCATAGGAATGGGCATGTGGTTGGGAAGTGGAACATCCCTAGTCAACGGTGGTCCTGCAAGTCTTTTCATAGGGTTCCTAATCAGCAGCTCCATCGTATGGTCAGTCAGTCAATCCATCGGCGAAATGGCCATCATGTACCCCCTACCATCTGCTTTTGTGCAGTGGTGTACCATCTTCATCAGCCCTGCTGCCGGGTTTGCCCTGGGATGGGGATACTGGTTTTCGTATTGGATCACGATTGCCAATGAACTTCAGGTATTTGCCCTACCCACCATTTTCATCTATCGTTCCAGTCTGATCTGTTCTGTTAAACTCAGGGAATAGTAACTGTCCTCAACTACTGGACCGACGAAGTCCCCAAGGCCGCATGGATATCCATCTTCTGGGTTGTCATCATCCTTATCAATATTTGGGTGGTCAAGCTATTCGCTGAAGTGGAGGTATTTGCATCCACGGTGAAATTCGGCTGGATGTTAATTGCCATCATTGTTCTCATCAGTATGGATCCCAATTTCCCATTCATCTCATCCCCATCAACACTAACATGCAGCTACTTCCCCAAACTCAGTTATTACCGCCGACGGCTCCCCCAAAGAAGACCCAATCGGTTTCCGCTACTGGAACGAGCAAGCATTCCGAAACGGCTTCAAAGGCTTCCTCAGCATCCTTCCAACCTGCGTCTTCGCTATGGCGGGGACAGAAAACGCAGCAATGGTAGCCAGCGAGGTAGCTAACCCGCGAAGATCGGTTCCGCAAGCCGCCAGATCTATTTGGCTTCGTCTTGGGCTCTTTTACATTCTCGGGAGTCTCATGATTACATTGACGGTTGATCCAACGAATCCGAACTTGTTCGGACAGTCAGGAAGCAATGCGTCGCCTTTTGTAATTGCCTTCAAGGACGCAGGCATTCCCGTAATGGCACACATGACCAACGCTGTTATCTTCATTTCGATGATTTCTACAGGGAGTATTTCCGGCTATGGAGGCTCCCGGATGCTTATGGGATTGGCGCATGTGGGTATGAATCATAAGGTAAGTAAGTGTGTGTTTCGCAGAGCTTTGCTTTCAGAAACTTGTACTAACATAGTCCATCCGTCCGTCTTCTTGATCCCGATAGATTTTCGGCATAGCAGATCACATTGGCCGCCCATGGGCCGGCTATATCGCGACCATCGGGATAGGAGGCGCTCTCGCCTACATCAACGTATCCAACACCGGAGCTGAAGTCTTCCAATGGCTATCCAACCTAGTCTCACTCCTCACACTCTTCGGTTGGGGTATGATATCTCTTTCTCATCTACGATTCCGATATAGCTGGAAGGTGCAAGGTCGAGGTGAGGCCTGCCTTCCCTGGAGGACAAGGTCATATCCCTATGCCACATGGTGGGCACTGGTCTGGTGTATTGGATTGATTAGCCTGGAACTTTATTTAAGCATTTGGCCTCTGGGTCAAGCGACGAACGCTAAAAACTTTTTTGCGAACTATATCAGCGTCATTGCTATCGTTGTCATCTGGATCGGCGCGCAGATTTGGTATCGCGGCCCGCTTTGGGTGGATGCAAAGGAGATTGACCTTGATAGATGGCGACGCTTTTACGCGGATGGGATTGATGAGGAGTCGACTGCGGCGAGGAGGTCTCTGATGAGAACGATTAAGGTGCTTTTTGAGTGATTCGTCAGTTTTCGTGGTTAAATCATTCCATAGAGTTGCATCGGATTCTTGATGGTCGAGCCACGCTACGATCTTAGCACTGGCTCGCATGTGCTTGGATAAAGCCTGTATAATGCATAGATCCGCTGTAGTAAGATCTCCAGTATCAGTAGCTACTACTATCTTCGTATCCCTTTTTGTGCGGAGGGTTTGCAACTAGGTATTGTGATTCTTGTTCTTCCTGTTCACGGTATGGTAGACCACCAGTACTAACTATTTGAAGAGAAGGTGCTAATACTAGTACATGATTCAGTTCTCCATATTCGTAATCTCTGATATACTGTCATTCAGCAGGAGACTGCAATAAGGAAACTATGTCAGGGCTGGCTGTGGATGTGGGGACATCTCTAAAGGGCACTGCAGAGCCATATCAATACTGGCATCGGATAAAAGTTCAACATGGCATATAAAATAAGATTCAGAAGAGTACAGTCTTCTGTCGCAAACAGCGACAATGTTTGGGTATCATTTAGAAGGTAGGTAAAGATCCGAACGATGAACAAAGATTTGGGGAAAATGACAATGAAAGGTAGATAAAAATACTTGAAAATGAACCGATACAGCAAAGAGAAGGAATCTTTGAGAGGCCAATAGTGCAATGGCGGTTGCACGAGAGCACCTCGTGTGGTGAAACACCGAACGTTCAATGAGGACAGACTGGATCAGCTTGCAAGGGAAGGCTTGGAGAGAGAAGTCGAAAACATGCGCCCCAAACTCCTTGAACTTTCCGCGCCCCGAATATCATGCAAGAGGGTGGAAGCAGAATACCCAACACCTGCAATGCGCAAATAAGATGAAACCATACCTAAGCAGACCCCTCGCATGAGAACAAATGAAGTCTAAGGATAGCACTGAATACCTGGAATGTTACGAAGACGGGCAGGGCCAATAATAAAGAGAAGTCGAAGAAGAAAAGAACGAAGGGTGAGAAGATATGAACGGGTGAACAAAGGCAGGCGCCAGTGGAACCGCCTTCGTATTCAGCTCACCCTATCCGCATGAAGCGTCAGGCGTCTCTTTCGAGCGTACAACCGACGACAGCATCTGGCAGGGTGTATATATGGATCTCTTGGATGCATCATGCAAGGGCTTTTTCATTCTCCTTTCCGCTGCTTTCAGTCTCAGTCTCCGCGCTCTCGCTGCTGCTACTTCGAAGGTTGAGAGCCCGTAGAGTTAGGTTCAGCTCTCTCTCGAGCTCCTTCTGGGCATGAATATTTCCCACCACTGATCCATTGAGCTTCTTCCTGTAAGCTTTCAATGTACGACACACTTGTTCTGTGGACGTGTTGAGGCTTCCAAAATCGCTTTTCCCGGAAAGTCTGGCCCGAGCACGAATATCAAGAGAGGAGCGGCGGGATTCGCCTCGACCACTGCCAGCCTTCCTTGTGCTTGCGGTCTTTGAAGTATGCAAAGAGGGAGATGTAGGTTGTGACTTGTCTCTGCAAGCGCTAGAGGTGGGGGAGCGACGATTCGATGTCGCCGAGGGCGTAGTGGGCGGTGGTGTATTCCCGTGCTTTGCGGGAGACAGCGAGAACTTGGAAAGCTTTCGTAAGAAAGTCGGAGAATGGCCGCGAGCCGGAGTGGGGGTGACAGCAATGTTTTCCTGTCGTTGGAGCCCAGCAAGCTCGGTTTTAGACAAAACCTTGCGTAGAGGGGGTTTAGCAAGTGTCAACTCCTTCACAGGAGCATCATCGTCTTTGTGGAGGACTGGCAAGGGCTCCGATGATGATTGAAGAAGCACTGATACTCCCCAGATCATAACAAGCCCATCAAGGCCGGAGCTGATGAGTATCCGGTCGTCTGACTGGGTGGAGTCATTGGAATGATTTGCAAGTAGGCAAGCATCACTCATGCCTTCTGTGTGCCCAAATTCAGCTGAGAGAAGCACGCCACGTTCCAAGTCGTAAACACGTATCGACTTGTCTGTGGTTGAGACACCGAAGAGTAGCTTCGCGAAACTCTGCTTTGAGATATCAGAAGTCACGGTCAAAGAGTTCATGACAACTGTATCATTTCCATCCGAATCTATAGCTCGGAAGGACATGATCTGACGACCGGAAGTGAGATCATATTGTTGAATACATCGATCAGCAGTAGATACGACAAGGACATCCGTGTCTGTAGAAAGAGTCATGGACACTGGGGATGCCTTCATCGTGATCACCCTGGTGGTCAAGTAAGCAACAATCGGCGTACCATTGACCTCACGGCTAACACGGTCTCTAATGAGAATGGTACGATCGGCTGATGACGACAGGAGCTTCTCTCCGTTGTCAAGGAAGAGGAGCTGGTTTACGGCCCCAACGTGGTCATCCATGGTTTGGATTAATTCAAATTTGTTATTGCTTCTCTCGAATAGCTGAACCATGCGGTCACGTCCACAGCTGGCGATCAAGCAGGTATCCGGTGATGTATGCAGAGCAATGTCAGTGATTTCTCCTCCATGGGCTCGGACCTCATGTAAGGGCTCCCATGAGGAGCCTAGCAGCATCCTGCGTCGCTCTAGTCAGCAAAAACGATGAACTTGACTCCTAACAAACAACGGAAATGTACCTTAGGACACCAAATTTATCACCCGAGACAAACAGGTCAATCTCATCCGTAGCTCGTACTACTTTCAACTCATTGGAAATATCCTCATCACAGCCAGGGGGATGCTCCAGAAGGATTGCACGCGAATCCTTGCACTTCCCTCGGGAACTCCAAAACTTCACGCTGCCCTTGCGAGACCATGTGAAGAAAGTAGCTTCATACTGGTTCGGAGTTTTGAGTCCACCTATCCCAAGCACCGCATCTCTGTGAGCGGAGACCATGGTCTGAGGGGTTCTCTGGTCGACTTCGTCGCCCAATTCGTCGCCCGAATGTATCTCAATAGCATTAGTCGAGTCCACCGCTACCACACGAGACCCCAGAGAACCGATGCAGATTATTGCAGGGCCCTTGAGCGCCTGCTCTGCTGATGACCTGCCAGAAAGTGTGGGAGACAGGGGAGCGGCCGATGAGCGTATCTTCTCGAAACTGAAAGATTGAATTTGTCCACCCCTTCCGCCAACCCAAACACAAGAGCGGTGCCAGTCGACCGCCAAGGAAGTTATGCCAAAATCCAGGTATTGAACGACGGATAATTTCTGGGATCCCTCACTATCATCCACCAAGCATAAAGCCCCCGTATCGGTGCCTACGACTGACTCCCGATCGGAAAAGCTTGCTACGCTAGAGAAGGTGCTTTCGGCCAGCGAACCCAGTAAACAATTTCGTCCCGAAAATGCTTTGGGAATCTGACTCGGGGAGCTGCTTGGGACCTCCACAGTAAGGCGAGACCGAGGGGACCCAGGCCTTGCATCTGGAAGTCTCCAAACTTTCACATGTCGGACTCCCACACTAAAACATGAGTTAGTTGATATCCCACTCAACATATAGCATACACCGCTAGGACGTACGTGATTAATGTCTGACCCATCCAACACATGTCACGGACATGGGAAGTGCACTTGTTGGTTGAGTGAAGTTTTGCCGAACCAGTCTTCGGGTTGATGGTCCATACGAAAAGAAATCCATCATTCACATCACCGAGCGTCGCTAGATACTGTGAATCTGGACTGAAGGCCAGGCCACGCACACCAAATGTATGCTCCGTAAGGATCGAAAGGGGAATTTCCGAAGATGTGTCTTTCGCTGTTGGGAAGATCATGATTCGGGGGCTATAACCAGTCTAGCAGAAGTCAGTGAATTGTTGACGGCGGCACAAGGGTAACTTGGCTTACTTCTCCTACTGCGAGGAACTCCCCATTAGGGCTGATTGCGGTACACGTAACCGCCTTAACTCTCTCGCGGGAAGACCAACCACGGGGACTACCGGGATCAGCCGTGTCATGGCATGGAGAGCCATTGTAAGCATTGCTGTGGGCGGTCGATCTCAGGCTTGAAGAGAATTTTGCTCGACTGTCAGGCGTTGTAGGCGGCGTGGATTGGTGGTAGAACGATGTAACTGGATTCACACTGGCTGCCGAGGGCCGTGCCCTGAAAAAGCGTTGATTTACACAGTCCTTGTCATCCAATTCGACCAGTACCGCCACTGAGCCTGCACAGAGGGCGAAAGACCTGCTTTGCTCATGACTGGAGAATCCATGGGGTGTGGTTGTGGTTGTTCCGAGTACTGTTCGCAGGGACAAGGCTGTCTGATGAGACGGTGCTTTGTGTATGGAAGAGCGCGTTGGTGGTCTCAGGATTGGAGAATTCGAAGGAGTGATGCGAAGCGATGAAGCGGGCCTGCTCTTTGCGCTCAACGAGTTGGTCGTCATTGCGTCGGCTTCATTCACGAGATATTACGATCTTTCAGTCGACAGGATTTCGAACGCATTGGTGGGCTGGGGGCTTGTATGTCTTTTTTATGCCTGCTTCCGACAGAAAATACTGTATGGCTCTCAACGGCCCTGGTTTCGGGGAAAGAGCCGCAGGTCAAGCGAGGAAGGAGAAAATGTGGAATATCGAGGAGCCTTGCTTATGAGCGACGGAACTTTTCGGTCGGGAGGGACGAGGAATTCGGTGTCGACAGCGAAGTCTCTTTTCGTTCTCCGTATATGATTTTCCTTTTTCTCCTTGTGCGTGGATGGCGGCGAAGAGGCTGGTGTGAAGACAGAATGAAAAGGCGGCGGAGATCGGGGAGAAGGACGAAAGGACCGGCGAAGGAGGGGGGGAAGGAATCAAAATAAAAACAATGGCTCTAAATGAATGACTAGGTCAGATGGTCAAGAGAAAGGAGCGAGGGAGAGAAGAGAATGTAGGGAAGGGATGATTGAAGCCTTGACGAAGCAAAAGGCAGAATGTGGGCGAGGTGAGCCAGATAAACACAGAGCTCCCAGCTTGACCACCATCAGCACCACCACAACCATAACATTCCACGGGCGGAGAGCCGAAAAATGATGGACGAACCCTTGGCGCTGGGCTGCTTCTAGTCGTGTTTAGCTTCGGGAAA